ATGATTATCGTGGCTGCTGTACCATAGACTGTCCAGTCGAAAAACATGGATAAATTTTGAAAAACCTACAGTTTTGGATTTTCTAGCGCGTGTGCTCTATAAATATTTGTATATTGGTACCGGTCGACTACAATCGATTTAATTTGTAGCGAATTGATTAAAACTTACGGGTATAGTTCTTTTTGCCGTAACCTGTAAGTGGAAAGTGTTAGAAAATTGGAAAATCAAGTTGTAAATAAATATTCTTAGAAAACAGTTCTTGCCAAGCAATGTTTACAAACATTTTTCATTCACATCTCAATTAGTGCGTTCCAGTCAATTTGCTAACTTACTTATGCTCTCAATCATATACTCACCTACACAAATCAATTTCTATCCAAACCAGTTCACGTCATCAGCTATTAATTCATACCAGATTTGAATCAACCAATTATTTACTCGCTAATAAACATTGATATGCTATTTGTTCGCTCACTCTTTTATAATCGGAACTTTAAAAAAGTACATATAAGTTAATTCGTACCGTAGATTTCTTCCTCGAGCTTGATGTTGCAGTCGATTTTGATGATTGTCCCGGTTCAAGCCTAGGTGATAGGTTTCTCTTTTACCTCTGGATGAAGAGAAGATTTGAGTAAATCTCAATTTCTTACAGCTCAGGAGGAGCAAACATTAGATATCTGGCAACCTGCTGCATTTCTGGTCGCTTCTTGGAATCACCTCTCCAACAAGCCCTCATTGCTCTTTGTACGACTATAGGCCACTTCACATCCACTACAGGACGAAATTTAGGATCAGTAATCTAAAATCAATTACAGTCATATTAAAATAATACTCTCATCCTAAATTACATTTTCTCTAATGGTTCTGTTATTGATCCCTGCGTAGGGTTTTTCTGCATTATTGAAAATTTCCCAGAGTAAAATCCCATACGAGTATACATCACATTTTCTGGTGTAGATTCTCGTCGTTATAACCTCTGGGGCTTGCCTGGAAGCTTATGACTGATGAGCTACAAGCAGCTAAAGCGAATCGCATACCATCTGATTGGGAGTTTTTCTTCACTTTTTATGGTATAGGACTCAGCTTGTTTCGACAGGCCAAAATCAGATATTTTTACTAAAGTTTTCTTAACGTCGATGAGACAATTTCGACAAGCTATATCTCTGCAATTGCATGTGCATGCTTTTTTAACACAAACTACTTACGTTACGCTTGTGCCCGTACCTATGCATACAACCTTTCGAGTGTAAATACACAAGACCCACAGCTACGTCAATGGCATAACTAATCTTCTCTTTTACACTTATCTGCAAACCACTGTTTGATGCTGATCCAAAACTATCGAAAAGAAAAAAGGCTCTACGTAAAACTTACGTTGGGATTCTTTCTAAGATGGTGGTCTAGACCACCACCGTTAACCATCTCCATGACTATCATTACACTATCGCTGCTTTTTTGAACAATTCCGTAGAACGTAACAATGTTTCTAAAAAAGAACTAACTTGGTTCGACGAAATCGGATTCCGAAGAATGGAAAATTACTAGTTTTTGTACGAATTAACTTTGATATATTCATCAATTTGGACCTAACAATGTGAACATCACCGCTTTTTACCCCTTTATCCATGACTCCAGATACAAAAGGAGGGAAAATTACAATTTAATGCGCTGTTGATGTTAACTGCCATAAGCGACCAACACCGTTGCGCGAGCCCGGTAGATCGGTTGGAATCAGACTGCAGCGAAAACCATGTCAAAGAGTCGTATTGGAGGGAAAGCTTCAAAAATTTGTCGATGGGAAATCAGAAGCAAGGGAAAGAGTGCTCTTAATAAGCTGTTCCTTGACGATGCTGCTATGATTTCTCCTTTCAGATGATTAAAAGTTGCGAGCGATGAAGTTTTACTGACACAATTGACAACTGATATTCCAAACTGACCATCAACCTCAAATAACCACTTGCGATTACAACGAAAATCCAAAATGGAGCGTAAGAACTTGATTTCCAGTTTGCTTTTGCGGGTTCAGTGGATAGGTATGCATGCTAAAATGTGTAGCATTTTCAAGAATTCCTACCACAATGCAACACATGTAGCGGCGATAAAAGCGGACAGTTTTTATGATAACGTTTTGACTGCCACCACTGCATTCTGAAAAGACAAGCCTTTCCCCCACTCTAGCGCAAGTCTCAGCTCAACGCCGTAACGACGACAACGACCAATAAGGCGACAATGGATGGAAAATGGATAATCGGCAAAATAGGCAAGTACTGCCAAGAAATACGCATACAAACCACGGCTATACGGGCAAAATGGGCGGGAGTTAAGAAAAGCGACAAGAACGTACGGCCTGGCCCTGAAGAATTCATAAAGTCGCGTACTATCAAATGACCAACTTGTGCTTATACTGTCGCATCAAACGCGCTTCCTTATACATCTCGTCCATTTTATCCTTATTCTCATCATTGACTTTCATCTAAAATACCTTCATCCTCTTTGAATTAAGAAAAAACGGCAGTAACCTACCACTTTAATGGCTACTTCTGTTGGTGGTTTGCCTTGAGAGCGTGACATTGTGCCTTTCCACACTTCTCCAAAGGCTCCAGCCCCAATCTTTTCAACCAGATTGATCTTATCGCTACTCAATTCCCAAGGTTGTTTGGGAATTGGATGTTGAAGCTTTACGTCTTCTCCTACTGGTGTTCCAGTGCTGTGATGAAACCTGTGCGGTTAAGCATCTCAGGTCAAGATCCAAAAAATCATTGACCTTACCTCACCAAGTCCATGATCCTCGTGTTTTTATCTTCACCGTTTATCGTATAGATACGTAGGTTGCCTACATTCATACAATGCACTGGAAAATCCCTAGCAGGTCCCCACCTCACAGTAACACACGCCTTAAATAGCCAAATCGATGTTACTCTTGAAGTTGAAACAGCGAGTAAATAGAAGCTTACCATTGCAGATCTATCCCCTTCTGGTTCTAACTCCCTCAGCAGAAAATCACCATCTTTCTTTAATAAACCCACTATGTCCTCAAATGGTAAACAACCGTGAAACCACTCTTCTCTCTGCAGCTGCTGCAATTTCCATGAGAAACTCATTTTGGCGTTGAAAAGAAAAAGACAGACTGCGCCGAAAAAAGGACGATGCAAAGCTCAATCTATGTTATGTTTTACTGCTATAAGTCCACCGTTAGCGATCAGGGACGAAAGTTGTTACAGTAATTACGCTAACTTTACAATAATTAGCTAATAAAATGACCCATATGTGAAAATTCTTGTCACGCCAAGTTGCACCTACAATTTCAAAAATTTGAAAATTTCGCATGTTTTACTACGTAGTCTCTTACAAAATAATTACTCGGAAGCCTGCTTTTGTTGTCGACTACTCTTTTTTGATCGGCAAATGGACCTTACATAACTTACAACCTTTCTTTAATTTCGTTTGGAAGGGTAAGGTTTTTGAAACAACTTCATTGTAAAGAATCTGTAAAAAAA